GATCGTTCGTACCTTCAGAATTGAGACTCGGAAGGCCTCAAAGGCTGTTGCCAGGAGGAAGGTGAGACCCTGCTCCTGTCTCGGGGGCTCCCCCGGGGCTGGCTCAGAGGAATTAGGAATCCCTTTTTTCTGGTGCCTTTAGTCTTAGGCACCTATTGTGTTGGAGCACGGCTGAGGTCGGTGTGTGTTCTGCTGGGGCACTGAAAAGTCAGTGGGGTTAGATTCTCAGTCCTCTCAGCTTGTCCACCAGGAGGAACAGAGCCAAGCCCTCCCCTGAGGTGGTCACAGCAGTTCCTGATCGACTAGGCTGCACGCTTGGGGAAGGAGTAACGATAAATACGTTTGGCACAACTTTCTGTGCCCTTTCTCTGTGCCAGACCCCGTGCCAAGTGCTCTGCGGGAAGTGTTCTCTCATCGGATCCCCCTAGCAACCCTGGGAGGCGGGGAGCATTTGTGGTGCCCGTCTTCTAGGGGAGGAGGCCGAGGCCTAGCTTGTTTAACTAGGTCAAGGCCCCTCATGGTCTGGGTGACCCCTGCACACCCCTGAGCATTGCTTCCTGTGGGAGCTGGCCCACCTACTGTCACGGGTCCCCGGGAATGGTTGGCTGTGCGGCTGCTTCCTGCTGGGCCTTGGCTCTCTCATCTGGAACTTGGGGCTGAGAGCCGTCCCTACCTGCCTCCTGGAGCCGGCATGAGGTTGAGGCCCGGCACATGCCAGGAGTGGTACACGCTAGGAAGCAGGAACTGTCATTGTCACCGCTCGGGGGGGCTTTGGGGGAGGGCGAAGAATGTGGTTCAGGCCCCGACAGGCTACTGTGGTCTGGGATGTCAGCGAAGGGGGTCCCACGTGGCCTTAACCTGTCCCTCATCCCGCCCCGAGCCCAGAACTGGAAGAAGTTTGGGAACTCAGAGTTTGACCCACCGGGGCCCAACGTGGCCACCACCACAGTCAGTGACGATGTGTCCATGACGTTCATCACTAGCAAAGAGGTGAGTGGGGCAACAGGGCAGGGCCAGTGGCCATGATGGTGGTGGCCGGGGTGTGGCAGTCCCGCTCTGAGCGTCCCCTGACTGCCCGCCTAGGATCTGAACTGCCAGGAAGAGGAGGACCCAATGAACAAGCTCAAGGGCCAGAAGATTGTGTCCTGCCGCATCTGCAAGGGTGACCACTGGACTACCCGCTGTCCCTACAAGGACACTCTGGGGCCTATGCAGAAGGAGTTGGCGGAGCAGCTGGGCCTGTCCACCGGCGAGAAGGAGAAGCTGCCTGGAGGTGCCCGGGCCTGGGGATGCGGCTTGGCGGTCCGTGGGGCGGGGGCGGGGAGGACCGCGTGCACCTCCGGGAGGGTCCTTGGTCTTCACCTGCCGTCTGGGGACGGGGCCGTCCCCCTCGCCAGTTGTCCTCTCACGTCAGCACCGCGAGGCTGGCTGCGGCCTGGGTGTGCGTGAGAGAGCGTGGCTGGGTTGGTGACTGCTGGTGATGTCGCGCATCCTTTCTGGTTGGGGCTGGCAGACCGTTGCTTTCCACGGCTGTGTCTACACCGCACATGCTTGAGACTTACCAGCTGTGATTCTGTTGTGGACTCGAGTGTGCTGTGTCTGCCACAGACACGACCACGGCTCTGCGTGTGTGTGTGTGTGTGTCTAGACAGTTCTACACCTGTGACTTGATATGCAGCATACGTGGCACTTGCCTGAGTGTGTGGGACCTGGGGACTGTCCCTGCCGTGTTCCTGTGTGTTGTGAAGCTGAGCGGTCCTCTGGCCCTCAGCTAAGATTGCCTTGGGTTGCATCAGCGTCTGTGGCTTCTTCAGACTTCCTGGATGTGACCTTTATGTCCATGTGGCCACGGGGCCTGAGAACCAGCCAGATGCATGCAGTTTGATAGACGGTGCCTGGCCCGGCTTGGGGCCAGAACTGCCAGCATCCTGGGGCGGGCCTGTCCCTCATC